TGTATATCTAAGTGATAACTAATAATAAATAAATAAATAAATAAAATAAATGGAAATAAATTTTATTAATACTGGTACACTTTATAAAAATATGTACAAAACTCACCTTCTTAAGCAGATTTATGAAGTAGCTTGGTTGTCGTTATCACAAACTGGAGCACTTCTATAATAACTGTGTAGCATCAGATATGTTCGTTCGACATCTACGGAAGTAATACAGGTATAAGTAAAACACTCTGTGAACTCACTTAACGCAGCTGTAGATGCACCATCACAAATTTGTCTTAATTTGGTAAAATCAGGATCTTTCCGTAATACACTCTCGAATTTTTCAATAACGGGCTTATTTTTTGCGTCATTTATAGTCTGTAGCTGTGTATTTACGTCGTCCACTATGATTCCACAGTGATTCCACTAACGGCAACGAAGTATTTTGTAATTTCTCTATTGCGTCGTGTAGTCCTCTATAATTGTTATAAATAGTTTTTAAATCTGTTTCAAGGGAAAAATCTTGAAAGCTTCTCTGGTTTTCCTTAATAGCTGCAACCACGTTAGGGTTGAACTGTAGTATCACAGCTTTTATTTGTTGAAAATATTCAGCATAATAAAAAGCTGCCTTCAACCACGTTCCCTAACGTGTAAGAATCGGCCCTGGTGGTTCCGGAATACCAGGACACAGTGTGTGAAATGCTCGAAGCCGTTTAGGAGATTTGAGAAATACTTTTTTTGTATTTGCTATTAATGCATCTACCTCTGGAAAACATTTTCAAATCGTTTCTGCTACAAGATGGAACGCATGCACTTTACAGGTAACATGTAAAAACCTACAATCGTCTCTTTGAAGAAAACGGCCCACCAAACGCATTGTCGCAGCACCGTCGCCGTCGGTCACAAACATCAACACTTGACTTGTTGACAGTTCAAATTTTTCGAAAGTCTCCAACACCACCCGAGTAATTGTTTCGCCAGTACACGCAGTTAGTCTTTTGCTAGCTAGTAAAAGTGGAAATGTTGGTTTAACAGGGTCGAGTACACGTACTATAACATTTAAAATAGAATTTTTTTTTACAATCTGTTGTCTCGTCGACACATAACCACAGCCATGTATTTTGTAATGCACATTTAATCCTATTTACAATGTCTTCACGAACACTTGGTACATATCTACGTAACGATGAACGACTTGGTAAATTCACCTGGGGATTGTATTTATTCCAGAACTCCCGAAATGCTGGTTTATCCAATATGCGCAGGGGAACATCACAGGCAATCAGCATTAACAGTAAATCAAACATAAATTGAGGTTCCGAAGAAGACACGCCATTTTTTTTATTTTTATGCCGGTTACTATTGACATGAATTTTGCAGCCGTATTTATTCCAGCACATTAAGTCTTGATCACAAACTTTACAAATTATTTTACATCCATCATAGAATATTTATAAGTACTCTATGCATCGACCGACAGATAACAACTGAAGTGTGTCGTGTCATCATCATCGTAAACAAGCGCGCGATGGCATTAGTATTGCGCCCGACCCTGTATCTACCATCGCTTGGCCAGACTTAGTTATTGGTAATGTCTGAAATTTATTGCTAGAATTAATTTTTCCAAGTATAAATGTAAATGACGAGAGTGTGTAAAAATTTATGACTGGATGAGTAATTTTTATTTACCTGAATTTTGCAAAAGCATAAATTGAAATGCGAACATTTCGTAAATAAATGTAAAAAGTATTTTGACTATGGCGACCTTGCATTTTTGTAACATCATGCATTCAAGTGAAATAGTGAATCACCATAAAGAAATACATTCAAAAGTAGGCGGTGTTCCTGGGTTTCTCTAGCTTACTGTAAATTTCTTTTCCTCTATTAACTGTATAATCACAATTGTCTTTGAGGAACTAACTATAGAGAAATGAAGTGACTGGTGATTAATAAACTGAATTAATGTTTACTGTGAAACATTACTAAGTTATAAAAATAAACTGACATTTTATTGTCGGCACCACGAGCGTAGTTAGTAATCGAAAAACTTGTATAACTGTGGTCGCTTCTGAAGCAGATAAAATTATAGAGCCAGTTACCAGTTTCTATTTTTTTTGTGCATTGTTAAATCTTACTTAGTATCTAGAACGATTCAGACAAAAAAAAAGTGTATAAAAAACATGCAGATATAATAAATATCTATAAAGAGCATAAGCTTACCCCTGGGGGATTTTTTATGATTTTGGTCAAATTTTTCATCTTATTTCTTGTAATAATAAATAAAAAAAAGTAAATAATTTAAATTGTATAATAACATCAATGAATGGAATTAGCGCCGCATGCAAAGGGCAGGCGTCGCTAACAAAAAACAGTACAGAAAAAAAAACAGGTATAGTGTAAATTGGTGTATATAAATTTTGAACTTAGGTATACCACGGCGAGCCAATATGCCATAGTAAAAAAGCTCGTCTCCAAACAATACTGTGATAGAGAGCGGGAATGACCAACTCCGCTTATTTTCACGTAGACAAATATTCTTGTATATTTATAACGTTCCCCATATACTGATGGTTTTCTTATAATTTGACAAAAATTTTGACAGGAATTTAGAAGACAATAATAAACAAAAAGAAAGGGAGAAGAAGATGAAAATTTTGAATTTTGATACCCTATTTATAGAAAGGAAGGGGTGTGGTGGCCTAAAGAGGTTGTCGAAATATTGGTAACGTCTGGTATGGTAATTTGTATTTTATCCGAATAGGCGCGTTAAACTTCTTTATTTGAGTGATGCTGGCGGTTAGCGGACTACCACATAGTTTAAATTCGTAAAATCGTTGAGAACTATCTTTGATATAGTCCACTATGGGTACAATGTCGTTGCAAATTTGGCGTAATTCCCTTAAAGGGGTGTATCTTGCTGAGTTACTTATTAGGCCTAGAAATTTATTTTCTAAAACTTCCAATTTGTGTAACGTCATTGCGCTCGCGAAACATCAGGTCGGCGCAGCATACGTTAGGGCCATTCTCACTATCATAGTGTAAATCAATTTTTTGTTATCCTTGTTTAGTCATTCAGAGACCAATGTTATTTTAATTTTTTCTTATATGATATGATCATTTACGCTAAAAGAATTAGCTAATTACATTCAGACAAATATTTTTACAAGTTCTGGTGACGTTATAATGGTTTCATTCATAGAATGAATAGTATAGATTCGTTTTGACCAACGTTGCCATGTCTGTATTCTACAGTTACTCAACATATTCAAAACGGTAAACAAACTAACGAGCGATGTAATCAAATGTGTATTTCACATGTATAATTATAACAAAGTTAAGGCGTACGTTCTCTTTACTAAGAAATTATGCTTTTTTTAAATGCAATGAGTAATTTGACAATTTAGTTATCAAAGAATCTGTGTTTTCCAAATATTTGGCAACAACAAACAAATGTAGTCTTGTTTTGGTTGCCAATACATTGACCAGTGACAAGTGTGAAAGAAAGCGTTATGATTTTAGTCGTTTATTTGTAAATTATTGCGTAATATACGTACAATAATTATTGCATGTGTTTATTTCACAGATTTAGTCAGTAGCCTAGTTTCCTGAAAATAAACCCTATTTATTTTCTGCTATTGATATTTTATCTCAAACACCTAGCGATAGACAAATGCTGATAGAAAAGTTAACTTGAATATTGATGGAATATGTCAGAACTTCTACATCCCAGCTACTACATACCTGTACCCGAAAATGTCTCCTAAAGTTAACTCTTAAAAACGCACCTCCTTAAACTTTTTTTAAAAATGATTCAAATGGTTTTTCATGTCTAAATTTTGTCTGCAGAGGCTTCACTGTTAAGGAATCGAAGGTTCCTCATTACAATTGTCCCAGTCTTATTTTAAGCGCTGTAATCAGACCGTGCTTAGGGAATTACTCTGATAATGTTAATGTTAGTTGAGGAGTTCTGCAAAGGTCTGTACTTGGTCCAGTTCTCATTTTATTTTATATAAATAACTTAGCAGATGTATGTATATATGAGGGTCCACAAATGTATAACTCTTTCCGCTTAGGATACAGAGCATTATATTCTCATGGTAATGCATGTTTTTGTATATAAGAGAACGGTTTATTTATTTAATATTTACCTAAATATGTGTATGTGTACAGTGTGAATCAAACTCGACACTTCGACCCTATTCCGGGAAGGTTGCTGGTGGCTGTTAGCTAAAAGACAATGATTTAACTTTCAGATAATAACCTAAGCTATAATTTGCCATATAAATAAAAACTTTAACTTAACAACCACGCTGTAAATTTTTTTTTACCTTTTTTTGAACACGCTACTGGAAAGCATTTTTTTTGTGAGTCGAAAATGTTTCAGTTTTTTTCTCTTTTGATCCGCTTAGAAATAGTAGACAAAAATATCATATTGTGTCTTCAGATGTGTTCAACGTGACCACCGTTCTGATCTAAGCATAACCCAAATCTTTTTAATACATGACTAGATGTTTTTATACAAAATATCACCATTTCAGACCTCACAAGTTACTCTAATTTTTTGTTTTAATTGTTCATTGTTCTTAGACCTGGTTTTATATACTTCATTCTTAACACGTCCCCAAGTAAAAGTCTAGCAATGTTAAATCCATCGATTTAAGAGCCCATTGTATTGACCCAATAGTCTCAATCCGTTTGTCTGATAATCGTTGGTTTAAAAGTGTGAAATCATATATTTCTTATTAGTTATTGCGGCACATCTGCTAATAAATTTGAAAACTCATTTTGCAGAAAATTTCGTACCATGAGTGAACCTTCGTAAAAATAAGGGTCAATTAAGTGGCGTCCAATTATCCCATACCAAACGTTTACTTCAAAGTAACCTTGGCTTGGTACTGGATATATCCAATGTGAATTTTTATTTATTCAGTAATGGGTCTTTTTCCGATTTGAAATTCTATGACTAACAAAATGTGTTTCACCAGTCCATAAAATATAGTTAAGAAAATTTTCAGCTCCTCGACCGGGGATCGAAGCCGTGACTCCAGAATGAGAGACAAGACCCTTACCACTCGACCACAAAGCCATTACCTCTTAGATTCCTTTCAAATATTTTTATCTAACGTAAAAACGTCATTCGACAATTTTTACTCTCAACAAATATAAATAACATATCTACTTTGTCTTGGTGTGTAAACATTGTTAAGACAATATGTACTATTTGTGTACCACTATTAATACTCTGACAGTAAAAATTATAATAAATAGTTGATGGTTGTCAATTTTTCCATGAGTATCTATGAAGAAATGCATGTTAAATGTCCACAATTCATTTTTCATATGTTTGTCTACAACTTTTAAATGGATCAGAAAAAAAAATTAAATTAACGTTTTTGACTGAAAAAAATTCCAGTGGCGTGCTCAAAATAGGGTGTTGCTGGAAAAAACATACCTCGAGATGTAGCATGGCGCCCAACGCGTCGTTAAGTTAAAGTTATTGTTTATATGATAAAATCTTAGGTCAATATCTGAAAGTTGTACTGACTTCTAGCTACTAGTCAACAATTCTAGCTTGGCACTCTAAATGCCGTTCTTTCACTGTAAAGTGGTTTGATTCGTCTCTGTCCATTAACGCCTGTCGTCTCTGTGTTACGGTGTGACGTCACAACTTCTAGTCCAGCCGAGCCAGCGTAATTTGCCGTGGGTGCTATAAAAACGAATAACCAATAGCAACAAATTATTTGCAGTGTTTAGTAAGGGCTTTCCTGTAAAAAACGGAGTTGCCAGTCGCGAACTGAGCCTTTACATCGCACCTTTTTCTGCGCGTGTTAAGCTATTGTAAAAATGAATATAAGAAGTTTTTAGATTTCAATGTCAAAAAAATTAATTAGAAAATCGATACCATATAATAAAGCACATTTTAATGAGGAATTTTGAACACAGTTTATGAGGTAATTAGATGAAGAATAAGAGTTTTTATATATTTTTTTTTTTCTGTTTATGATGGCCTTGGGTGGTTCCCATTAGCCAGCTACACATATTTAGTGATTTGACAAGATAAAGAGAAAAATAGAAACAACCACAATAAAGTATTGGAATGAAAAATTGGACAGGGAAAACACATAGAGACACACTTCACGCCAAGGGGCCGTTCATGGCGACTTGAATAATACACTAGAAGGCCACGGTAAAATAGAACGAACAGGAAAGGACGGTTTTTTTTTTTTTTTTATTTTTTTTTTTTTTTATTATTTTTTTTTTTTTTTTATTAAATTACAATATTAACTCTTTGCAAGTATTCCACAATAATTTTAAATGCTTCAAGACTTTTTGCTTGCTAGAATATGATTTGCACTGAGGGGCATTTTAAATCCTATTTCCTGTAGGTGATGTATTAAGCGATTAGATTCTCTCTGTTTGAGTCTGCAATTGAACAAAATATGGTTTACATCACCAATATCTCCGCATTCGCAGAGGTTGCTTACAACTATTTTAATTTTTATGCAGGTGGGAAGGAAATCGGCCATGATTAAATTGCAAACGAGTTATTGTCGTGTAGAACCGCCTGGAGATGGAGTGCTCCTTATGCCAGTTATCTTTGGTTATAAGGGGATTTAATAAAAAGTAATTGGTGGGATTCTCCGAATATGCATTTTCGTATCTATGCTGCCATTTCAAAGAAATTGATTTTTTAAGCCTAACATGTAAATCCGATGAAGGGATCTTGTACAAGGAAATGTTGCCTTCTGTGATTGCATTCTTCGCTAATTTATCTACACTTTCATTGTGTGATAAACCACAGTGACCCTTAATCCATACAAAATTGACCTTAATATTGCGATCTGCTAATTGTGCAAGTTTATTTACGATGTCTAATATCAAACATGAGGTTTTTATCCCAAAATTGGCAATGCTGGTAAGCACGCTTTTTGCATCTGAAAATATTGTAATTTTAGAGCATTTTAGTAAACTCGAAGCATCAATAGCCTCAAGAATAGCAACTGTTTCAGCAGTAAAAATTGAAGTTTCTTTTGGGAGTTTTATCTTGTATTCTAACTTCAAACTCGGAATGTAAAAGGCACTACCAGTACCTGTATCGTTTTTTGATCCATCTGTGAAAATACATAGATGATCTTTATATCTGTTTAAGATACCAAGGCAAATATGTTTGTTGACAGTAGAACTTTCTGTGAAAGTTGGCAAGTGTACATCTGGGATAAACAACATACAGAAATAATTTAACGTGAAAAAATATGGGGTGCTGTGTTTGAAAAGATTGTTCTCATAGTCAGAAGTATTACTGTAACCATCAGCTAGTGGGGGGGCTTATTTTCTTCTCCCAAAATTTATTTGTTAAACTTTCTATACAGATATTATGTATACCTGTATTAAGATGGGAAAGATTTGTAGATGTTCGGACTTTGAGTACAAATTTAGAACTTAACAACTCCCTTCTTAATGCTAAAGGAGGTTCATTTGCTTCCACATATAATGCCTCTATTGGTGTAGACTTCATAACACCCAAGCATATTCGTAATGCTTTATTCTGCACAACGTCAAGACGTCCTAGCAAAGTTTTGCATGCGGAACCATAAAACAGACATCCATAATCTATGACCGATCGAATTATCGCCCTGTATAAAAGCAAACATGTACTAACATCTGCTCCCCATGATACTTTACTGCATATGCGAATAAGATTGATCGCCTTTTCGCTTTTATTTATTACCGCTTGTACTTGTTCTTTCCATTGTAATTTTTGGTCGAGTAATATTCCCAGATATTTAACGGTTGTTTTGAAGGGGATAGCAATTGGTGGTAAATTAATAATTTGGAAATTGGGTAAGCGGTGTCGTGTATAAATTGAAGCAACTGTTTTCAGTGGAGAGATGGTAAAACATTTTAAATTACACCAATCTACAACTTTTGTCATGATCTCGCCTAAGGTCTGAATGCAATTATCCAATTTCTTTTCTTCACAATATACGACAAAATCATCAGCATATTGCACGACTTTACAATTAATATTATCTAAAAAGTCACTTGTATAAATATTGAATAGGAGGGGACTCAAAACCGAGCCCTGCGGCAATCCCTGTGAGGCATATCTAGGTCCAATTAGTTTATTTTGATTTCCTCGTAGGAAGGTCCGTCTTTCTCTGTAAAAATTAATGATATTATGGCATAGAAAAGGGGGCAAGTTAAAGTCTATTAATCTTGACTCTAGAATTTCCAAATTAACAGAGTTATATGCATCTTCCAGGTCCAAGAAAATAGCACCTAAATAATTATTTCTTGAAAAATTTAGTTGAATGTCTGTGATGATTTGACCAAGAGCGTGCTGAGTGCTAAGGCCTCTACGAAAACCATACTGAAATGTTGGTAAAAAATTTTGAGATGTCAACCACCATTCTAGTCTCGTTTTTATCATCCTCTCTAATGTTTTTAATAGGCAAGAAAGTAAAGAAATTGGCCGAAATGCTGTTGGTAAACTATGATCTCTTTTTTGTTTAGGAATTGGTACTACTATACAAGTTTTTAGTTCTTCAACATTTTCTCCATGTAGATACATTTTGTTGTATATACGAAGCAGAAACATTTTTGCAGAAACTGGAAGCTTTATTATCATTGAATATAGAATACTATCTTCTCCTGGAGAAGTGTTACTATTATTTTTTAAAACATTATCTAACTCGATCAATGAGAATGGTGTAGTAAGTGGATGATTGCTTATTTCTGGGTCAAAGGTTACAGGTTTTGGATGTACCATGTCCGGTGTAAAGGTATAAAAGAACTCGGTAAGGGATTCATCTGGTACTGGCTGTGTTGTACTGTGATTAGCAATAATGTGTTTCATCATTTTTATTTGTCTCCAAACGTCCGATATCGGCGTGTTGTGGTTAAGGTTGTTGCAAAATTTTTTTCCAGTTGGCTCTCGCTTTTTCCTTGAGCAATTTTTTGACTCTAGCAAATTCTTTATTACAGTTTAAATAGTTTTCCAGTATCGAGTTCCGATTATATATGGCTAAAGCTTGTTTTCTATTTTCAACTGCTGCTGAGCATTCATCATCCCACCATATAGGACGTTTCTTGGCAGAAGGTGTAAATGGTTTTTTTATTTTAAATGATAAATCCGCAGCGTTATTTACTCCAGTGATGAAGTAATTATACATTTCTTGAGCCGAGTTTAACAAAGGTTCATTTAGAAAGTAATTATATAAATACTCACTGAAAATCTCCCAGTTAGCGTTCTTAATATTCCATCTTGTTGAAGGAAATACTGTATTTGAAGGCACAATGTAATTAGAAACTTCAATAGTAATAGGATAATGATCAGATCCTAATGTATCATCTTGGACATTCCAACTGCAAATATTTGCTATACTTGGGGAAACTAAGGTTATGTCCACGGCGGATATCATATTTGATGTATGATTGACTATACGTGTTGCGGAACCATTATTTAGAACGACAAGATTACAATCGTCAATAGCATTAAGGAGAGAATTGCCATGATTGTCGTTTTTCGAAGAACCCCACAGGCCATTATGGGCATTAAAATCGCCTGCTATCAGGCAGGGGTGCGAACACTGTCGAAAAATATGTATCCAGTCACTACTGTTTGCGTTGACATGGGGAGGACGATACACAGATAAAATGTCGATATTCTTCGAACCAAGAATGGTTGCTCCACATATCATGATCCCGTCATTATAATTATTAGTTAAGTGTTTTTCACGGTATTTCAATTTTCTTGAAACCAAGAGAGCAACGCCAGCTTTCCCATCTAGCCGATCATTCCTAATAACATTAAAGTTTAGAAAGTTGAAATTAGAACATGGTTTAAGCCATGTCTCAGATAAAATAATTATGTCTGCTGGGTTAGAATTAATATAGTGTATTAAGCTTGGTTTATTGGCATTAATTGATCTACAATTCCATTGTATGATTTTGAGGTTATTTGTATGATCCATGAGGAGAAAAAAATGTATATATACACTAATGCTGGTCAATTAGACCAACACCGTTAATTACGTTTGCCACACTATTTCTGATCCATATTTCTTCTTCATTTGTTACATTTTC